CCCTGGCCCCTTTGTCCTTGCAGTACGCGAACTGGTTGGAGCCATAAGCGCCAAGCTGCTCTAGCCTGGGAACAAACGTGTTGGCCAAAATGCGCTCCACAACTTTAGAAAGTGAGCAGTGAATTAAATGCCTCTGTAATTGTCAGGGTCGCTAAGGGCACGGCCCCCCGCCCTCTTCGGCGGAGCACCGAGGGGGGTGGCGACGAGAGGAGGCGGGCCTTCTCGGAAGGCGCCGACGGCCTCTCAAACCTTCCGAGAGGATGTCCGAGCCTGCACCGAAGGCGCAGAGGGCTCCTCGGAAGGTCGGGTGGCCTCCGGGAGGCCCCGCCGCCTTGCGAGCAGGCCTGCCCCCTCTCTCACGTCCACCCTCGGCGCGCCGCCGAGTCCTTCTGGTACATCCTGCCTGGCCCCGAGCCATGCTGGGCCCAAGCACCATAGCTATCCTCCTGCCCGAAGTTTGACGAGTGAGCGAAGATAATGTACCTCCACACTGGCCCAGCCACCGATGGAAACTCGGAAACGCGGCACAACCCGACCTCCCGCTTGCGAGCCTCTTGGCGGTCTATCGATAGAACCCGGACACTAATGAGGGAGGAGTGAACGAAAGGCAGCCAATCCCCCCTCATGGCCCTACTCTGCGCTATGGGAAGAACTGCGCATGTTGAGATCTGGCATGGCGAAAAGCACAAAATCGTCAGAAATCACACCTGGGGCCTGGACCCCATCTTTCTGCGGCGCTTCTCATACGCCCATTCGGGCCCTGGGGCCCGAAACCAATGTGAAAAAATTACCCTGGCCAACCCACTGCCAACAGTTCGGCCTTCCCCGGCCACGCCTACCGTCCACCCCTCCACGAGTTGACCCTGGTTAGGACAATTCACGCCGCAAGGCATAGGACATAGCACTCGTCCCCAACCCAGCCGCTTTCAGCCCATTTGGCGGCCAGCAAGCGGAGCCACGCAGGGGCATTCACGCGAGAGGGAAGGGGAGACGGCAATCGAAGAAATCGGGGGCCACTATTAATCATTCGAAGGGCGCGCCTCCAGACCCTGCTTGGCCTCCCAGACCCCCAACATCCAACGAGACACTGTTTACGAGTCGGCGGTACCTGGAACTCTCGCGCCCCTCCCTGGGGCCCGCTTCCCGTCTCGCGCGGTCTTCGATGACGGCTCCCGGGTCCAAGAGCGGCCTCCCGACCGACGCCGAAGGTTGCGGAGAACCCCTCGCGCGAAGCTCCGCTCTACACGCCAGAAGACGTCTGGCTTTGGAGCGCCACCGCGCCGTGCCCCGCGGGGCGGGTGGGGGACGGCGACGGCGACGGCGGCGGCGACCGCAATGTTCTCGGCGACGACGCGTCAGCGACAGCTGCGGCGACGGTGGCAGCGACGTGACAGCGGCGGCGACGGTCGTGAGGGAGAACGGGGCATGAGTGGCACGCGCGTTGCCCTTCAAGGTGCGTGCGCTGCCCAGTCGCTCCGTACAACAAAACGTGGCAGTCGTGCACCTCCTCCTCCTCCTCCTCCTCCTCCTCCTCCTCCACAGGCATGACCATGATACCGTTTGTGCTCGCCAAGGCGGCCCCCTGGACCAGAGGCCGGTCGCCCTGGTATTTCAACAAGGCCTGCCTCGACGTGTTCTCAGATGGCTCCAGCCATACTGCTCTAGTCAGGAATCGGCGGCGAGTGCGGGGGGGAAGAGACGGGGCGTGTCTTCGAAGGAGGCTCGGAAGTCCCCATGGCCTTCTGGGAGGTTGTCTACGCCTCCCCCGAAGGCACAGAAAACTTCGCAGAAGGCGCGAAGGCTTCTGAGAAGTCCCGCCGCCTTCTGCAAGGGCCTTCGCCTTCACACTTCCTCCCCTCGCTGGCCGCCTAAGAAATCCCCTGAGAACCAATCACACGAAGCAGAAGAGGTTATCAGATCACTTTCCGGGGGCGACGAGGGGCGACGTCAGGGAGGGAACACCTCAACGACGGGAAGCATCGAGCCCGGAACCCGAGTCGGCGATGCATCGCCAGTAGATCGGCGCTAGGCCCCCGACAGCGAACCCGCACGTTCCTGGGCGGGCTGGGCTATCGGGCCGATCGGGGGTCTTTGCATCCACCCCCTCAGCCGGTCCCCCCCGAGCTATGCCCCTCTCGGGTCAGAACTCGACCCTCCGGCGGCCGCTCGGGACGGTCCGGGCACCCCCCGAACGCCCTTGGCGCGGCGCAGCTGCAGGAAGGCACAGCGAGGCTGGACATCCGCCGAGGACCGACGAGAACGCCCGAATTCCGAACGTGGCCCCAGAATGCAGGCCAGGACGCTTCGCCACTGAGGCTCGAAGGGCGCAAGACCCGCCTGCGGCGCGCTCGGCGGCCCGGCCGCGCCACACGCGGGCGCGGGCGCGGGCGCGCAGAAGCCGCCGCCAGGCACGCCGACCAGGCAGCCGCCGCCGGCGAGCGGCGGGGCACCTGCTCGCGGGGCGCGGGCGGGCAGGCGCCGCCTCCAACCCGACGGCTCCGCTCCTCACGTGCCCAATGCCCGTCGACCCACGCCGCGGCGGCGAGACACGGCGGCGACCCCTCCGTACGCGCGGGGGGGGGACTGCCAGCGACCTGTGGGACGCACAAGACCGCACCATTAGATCGGGCATGTCCTCTCTCACACACACACACGGTTTTTGGAAGAAACATGAACAATAGTCAAACAAACCTCAACAATTGTCCAATGAGCGCGGGGAATCGTCGATTGACGATGTGGTAACTATTATTGAATATTCTTCCTGTAGAGGGACATGCCCAACTTAAACGTACCAGCGTGTACTACGTACGTATGTACTTATGCTGGAAACGCCCGTTCGACGCAAACATACGGTCCAACCATCTGATCGAATATCGCTCCCTGGTCCGTGTGCCGAAAAGGCGCCCGCCGCGGGTCGTACACGATCCGACTTCTGATCGTTTGCCTGGCCCATGCGGGGCCTACGCGCCTGTTTGGTCTGCGGCGAGCCGGCTCCAGCAAGCGGCCGGCTGACGGCGGGACGCGTCGGAAGCGAATTACGCACACGGGAACAAGCAGGCGAGGGGAAGGGAGTGGAGGGCCGCGGGACGGCTGGAGCGCCCTCAGAGCGGAAAGCACTTCGGGGCGCGCCGGAGTCGGGCTCAAATCCTTGCAACTGGACAAGCGCGTTCCACTGCTCGCACAGGAACTGCTCAAAAATGGCCTGCATCCGCTGCGCAGGGTTCACGATCCGCTACATAGAGGAAGCCTTGCCTTTCATGGCGTTGGCGAATAGGCCCTTGGCGAGTAGCGGCACGCGCCGGGTGCGCAACTGTCAGTGCGTGTGCAGCCACGTTAGGGCCACATTGTTAGATGCTCATTCTGGGGACCTTCCTGGAGCCACTCGCTCCACTCGTGCGTCGAAGCTGCGTCGAACCTGAGTCGAATCTGAGTCGAATCTGTGTCGAACCTGAGTCGAATCTGAGTCGAATCTGTGTCGAACCTGAGTCGAACTTGAGTCGAACCTGAGTCGAACAGATCCATTAGGTGGGCCCCAGGAAGGTCCCCCAAAACGAGCATCGAAACATTGAGGCCGACGCAAGCGTAGTACCAGCGTGCTTAGGCAGTGGCAGCACTGCGGCCGCGGCTGGCGCCTGCGGGGCGGCCCGGCACGGCCGCCACGGGGGGCGGCCCGCTCGCGCCCGGGAGCCCGCCGGCGCTGAGGCCACCTGCGGGCTCGTCGGTCGCCGCAGGCCGGCCGTCGGCGCCGCTCGTCGGTCGCCGTCGTGGCCCGCCGCCGACGCCGAAGGACCGTGAGCCGTCGCCGTGTCCCGTCGTCCAGCGTCTGAGGCCCGCAATCCGCCGTTTGCCGCCGCCGCCGTCGCAAAAGGCCGGTCCTCGCCGCCGTCGTCCGCTGTCCTCGTCGACGTCGTCGCCGCCGGGTCACCTCTCCCAGATAGGAGCATCAGAAAACAAAACCAGACGGAGGTTCGCGCGGATTTCTTGGGTCGGCGCTGAACCCCTTTGCCCCTGCGCGCGAAGCGCACGCCAAGGTCGGCGCCACCAGGGGGAATGGGGGGTCCAGCCCCGACCCAAGAAATCGGAGCGGACATCCGTACTTCAATGCTGAAGCAATTTGTCTCTCTTCGAACGGGGGACGTCAAAGACCGCCTCACCGAACCTGACCGGGCCGATCATAGGCCCAGGATCGGTGTGCATGCCTCCCTGGCCAAGCCAGGAGGACGGCTACGCCAAGGCTGGGCCCAGGATTGACCTGGCCAGGATCGATGAGGTTGCCAGTTGACCTCCCCTCCTTTTCCCTCCCTTCCCCATGCCGTTCCAGCCTCACCATCGCACACAAAGAGGAGGAGGAGGAGGAGGAGGAGGAGGAGCAGGAGGAGGAGGAGGGAGGAGGAGGACGAGGAGGGGGAGGAAGAATTGGGAGGGGGCGGGCGGGGGGAAAGGGGGGAGAGAGGGACGAGGACGGGGGGGGGCAGCAACGGCTGCGGCAGGGACAGGACCAAGTGAAGGACGGTGAGCAGGAGCAGAGGAAATGAGGAGGCGGCAACGAAGGATTTCCCCACCACCCTCTCCTCCTGTAAACATGTGAACAAGTTCATTTCACCATAATGTGGGAAAAAACTCTGCGGTCGCCTGGCAATGCCTCTGGAGCCCCCCCAGGCGCGCTCCGCGCGCCAGGGGAGGGAGGTCCAGCGCGGACCTCCGAACACCCGAAGGTTTACAGTCATCGTGCAAGATTTGTTGGCTCGGATGTAGAGGAGGATTAGGAAAGAGGGATGAGGAGAAGGGATGAGATGGGAAGAGCGACAGGAACAAGGGAGAATGAGCAGGACAAGGGAAGGAAGAGAAGGAAGAAGGAGAATTAAGGAGGAGGGCGAGGAAAAGGAGAACCAGGAGGAGGAGGACAACGACGTGGCGATTGGATTGCTCCATCGGTGGGCGTGCCTCGCCCGGTCCCCGCAGCAGAGAGCACAAGGAGGAGACATGCCCAGCCCGGCCACCGAGGGACTGCGCGCTGGCTGGCGCGGCGTACGTCGTCCCAGCGAGCCTGCGGCGCACAAACGCGACGATTTCCGAACCCATGACATCCACAATTCATGTTCAACGATGCACACAAGTGTGAGGGCGTCCCTCCGGCGCTCTAGTATGTAAGAGAGCCCGTCTAATCACGTATGCTGGAGGCTTGATTGGTGCTTGAGATTCTGGGTGCGTACCCCTGCTCCCATTCCCCTGTTCATTGACATCCCATCTACCTGACCCCCCCTTCCTCCTCCTCCTCCCACTCCTCCTCCTCCTCCTCCTCCTCCTCCTCCTCCTCCTCATCATCATCATCATCTTCATCAGCATCAGCATCAGCATCAGCATCAACATCATCAGCATCATCAGCATCATCAGCATCATCAGCATCAGCATCAGCATCAGCATCAGCATCATCAGCATCATCATCATCATCATCATCATCATCATCATCATCATCATCATCATCATCATCATCATCATCATCATCATCATCATCATCATCATCATCATCATCATCATCATCATCATCATCATCATCAGCATCATCAGCATCATCAGCATCATCAGCATCATCAGCATCATCAGCATCAGCATCAGCATCAGCATCATCATCATCATCAGCATCATCGACATCCTCCTCCTCCTCCTCCTCCTCCTCCTCCTCCTCCTCCTCCTCCTCCTCCCCCTCCTGCTCCTCCCTGGCCCCCCCTCCCACTCTCGCTCCCCATGCCCCCACGGCCCCTTAGAGGCCTCCCAAATGGGGTCCAGGCAGATGGGTCTCGAAGATCTTGCCGCATCGCATACCAATCCTCCCTGCGGCCGCGTGTGCTCCCGGGTGTCCCAGGTGTTCCGGGTCCAAGTGTCACGGGTGTTCCAGGTGTTCCGGGTGTTCCGGAAGTTCCAGGCGTTCCAGGCATTCCGGGTCCGGGTGTTCTGGGTGTTCCGGGTGTTCTGTGTCCGGGTGCTCCGGGTGCTCCGGGTGTTCCGGGTCCGGGTGTTCCGGGTGTCTTGTTCTGGGTGCTCCGGGTGCTCCGGGTGCTCCGGGTGTTCCGGGTGTTCCGGGTGTTCCGGGTGCTCCAAATGTTCTGGATGCTCTGGGTGCTCCGGGTGTCTGGGGGGCATGATTGGCGTCATTGCGTCATCGTTTCTGAGTTTCCAGATTTTGTGTCTATAGTGTTGGCGTTTTCGGAGGTGTCCGGGGAGTCATCTGAGGAGTCCACGGCTGACTGCGGAGGATCCCCGAGGCTCCAGAAGGGCGCAAGCCGTCGAAACACGTCATCTCATCCTCCATGACCCTGTAGGCTGATTCGGCGGAGGCCTCGGGGCCTTTGCAAGCCCTCTTTCCCACGCCTGGAGAGTGAACCTTTTCAAGTTCCCTCTCCAGTTCACATGCAATCGGGAAAGTGAACCTTTGCAAGCTCCCTTTCCCGCTGCTAGAGAGTGAACCTTTTCAAGTTCCCTCTCCAGACCCAGTAGAAGGGGGAAAATTAACCTTTTCAAGTTCCTTTTCCCACGCCTGGAGAGTGAACCTTTTCAAGTTCCCTTTACCAGACCCGATACAAGGGGGAAAGTGAACCTTTTCAAGCTGCTTTTCCCACGTCTGGAGAGTGAACCTTTTCAAGTTCACTCTCCAGTTCAAACGCAAGCGGGAAAGTGAACCTTTGCAAGCTCCCTTTCCCGCGACTGAAGAGTGAACCTTTTCAAGTTCCCTCTCCAGTCCGACCACAAAGCGGAAGAGTGAACCTTTTCAAATTCTTTCTCCCGCAGCGAGAGAGTGAACCTTTTCAAGTTCCCTTTTCCAGGACCCGATACAAGGGGGAAAGTGAACCTTTTCAAGCTGCTTTTCCCACGCCTGGAGAGTGAACCTTTTCAGGTTCCCTCTCCAGTTCAAACGCAAGCGGGAAAGTGAACCTTTGCAAGCTCCCTTTCCCGCGACTGAAGAGTGACCTTTTCAAGCTCCCTCTCCAGTCCGACCACAAAGCGGAAGAGTGAACCTTTTCAACTTCTTTTTCCCGCAGCTAGAGAGTGAACCTTTTCAAGTTTCCTGCCCAGCCCAAACGCAAATACGCAGCAAGGAGGGAGGGACCCCTCCTGCTGGAGCGCCGGAGCGCTGCCCTCCTCTATCGGCCACGCACCCCTCGGAAAAACACGCCTGCCCAGTGGCATCAGATTGACAACCATCGCTCCGGCTACAGTGTCGACAATATGGGCGCGAGCCTGGGGGGACCCGGAGCGTTCCAGGAGCGCACGAAGGAGGCGCCAATCAGGTGGCATGCCTCACAGCCAGCCGAAGGATTACGAGAAAGTCTCGAACTAGAGCGCAAGTCCTGAATTCGAGGCCTCGAATTCGGAAGCCTCCCTGCCAAGGGCTCTGTGTCCCGGGTGCTCCGGGTGCTCTGGGTACTCTTGGCGTTCCAAATGTCCCGGGTGTTCCGGGTGTCCCACGTGTCCTGGATGTCCCCGGTGCTCTGGGAACTCCGGGTGTCCCGGGTGTCCCGGGTTTCCCGGGTGTCCCGGATGCTCCGGTTGTCCCGGGTGTCCTGGGTGCTCCGGGTGTCCCGGGTGTCCCGGGTGTCCCGGGTGTCCCGGGTACTCTGGGTGTCCCGGGTGTCCCGGACTGAAGCCGGAGAGGAGACTCTCCTCCCGCATCGCCGATGCATCGGCGCCATCGGCGTGGAGAAAATCCAGACGAAGCCAGGATGAGGATAATTTTGTGAGCGTTCTCTTTCTCGGGGCCAGAGGATGCCAAGACGACTTTCCAGTAAGTATGCCCGGCAGCCGGGACACAAACAGACGGAGGCCGCCAGGAGAAAATGTACCCACGGCGGCTCCGACCTCTCCGAGACCTCTGTGCAGATCCGCAGGGAGGGAGCTTAAAAGCAGGGAGGGCGCTTGAGCCAACAAGGCCACGGATACAACACTCCGACGTGATGCAGGCCCGCGACCTTCACGGCGGCCCAACCCCGAGACAGAAGCTAACAAAGACGTGTTGAACACTAGGCATGTGAGCGTTCTCTTTCTCGAGGCCAGAGGATGCCAAGACGACTTTCCAGTAGCTATATGCCCGGCAGCCGGGACGCAAACAGACGGAGGCCGCCAGGAGAAAATGCACCCACGGCGGCTCCGACCTCTCCGAAATTGCTCCAAAGCACCATCTGGCCACAGGCCTTATGTTTCACCACATGGCTTAAAGAGCGGGCGGAAAATGCTGCCAGCAAAGGCGCGGACAAAAACGGCGCAGAACTTGGGAGGATACGGCTCTGCTAGCTTACTGAATTTGACACCGCACGGATGGTTGCCAATGGTTTCAACATGCTTCTTACCTGAGAACGAGCACAAGCCGCGGCCAAAACAAGTGACACTGAGATGCCTGCAGGAGATGTGGGCGCAGAGAAACCTCGTGCGCTTCCGCCACGGAGCGCCCCAGGCGCAGTAATCTGTGACGCAAGTCTCTATACGCGAGCTTCGCGCGAGGATCTCGAAAGCTCTAACATTCCAAAGCAGGCTGGTGTGAGGATTCTCCACGACGCACGGTACACCGAGCCTGCGGCACAAATCTAAGATGCTGGAGGCCACTTTGCACAGGCGAATGGCTATGTTGACTACACGCTGGTCGGCAGGCGAGAGGGAGGGGAGGCCAGGAGGGAAGGCGCGCGACCGAACCGGCGAGAAGAGGCACCGGAGGGCCGAGAAGGAGGAACAAGGCGGAGCCAGCCAGATCGCGGCGATCAGGCCAGCGCGAGCCCATCCGCGGATTTTTCGGACGAGGCTCTCATTTAGCAAGTCAAAGTGTGGCCCGTGCCGAGTGTCGATCTCAAATATCTGAATACTCTTCAAAGCTGCAGACCGCCGCCAAGCCTGAGCAAGGCGGCCTGACCCCGAAAAGATCTCTAGAGCAAACTGTCGTCCTGTCACTGCTGCCTGACGAGCGGCATCCTCGAGATCCGCGAGCCGATGCTCGCGGCGGCAGTGTGAGCCTGGCGCTGCACGGCGTCCGAGGCCCGCTGCAGCTGGGTGGGCAACGGGCCGCTCTTCTCGTAGCGGCGCGCGCTGCTGTCGGCTGCCCACCGCCCGCGCTTCTTGATCTCGGCGAGCGGGCGGGCGCGGGTGGCCAGCTCGTGGCTCGCTCCGCCGTGGCGGAGCTGGCGCAGCGTGGGAGGCCCCAGGTTGCCGAGGCCCACGCCTACCGCGGCCTGGGAGAACAGGGCGGCCCAGCTCGAGCACTTCAGGTCGAGCAGCGGCAGCATTGCGCCGCGGCCGGCACGGAGCCGCGTCAGCAGGCCTCCCACCCACCAGAACACCGTGTTGTCGTGGCTCAGCGACTCGTCGAACTCGCCCGTCTTCGAAGGCGCGCTGTACTCCGACGCGTTCAGCAGCAGGGTCCACATCGCCAGGGCTCTGGGTCCTCCTTGCGGTGGTGGAACAGCATCCTTCACTCGCAGGCGCAGCAGCTCGGACGGCCTGGTGTAGAACGCGAAGCACAGGAGCGTCGCTGCGGCCGCCACCCAGTGGCCTTGATTGATCAGCGAGTCCGCGATCAGCGCACCTCGACCGGTTGAGGGCGGCCTTCAGGAAGCCCAGGAGCGCCCGCCTCGCCTTCGGCAGCTCGGGCGCCTTTGGCGACAGGTCCTGTCGACAGTGCGCAAGGGCCGCCAGGAGGTCGGTGCCCACCGAACTCGGGTAGCCCTGGAAGAACTGCTCGTGAAGGTAGGCCGTCACCGCCGAGTCGAGCTGGGTGGTGCTCTCGATCACCCGATTGGCTGTTGTGCACCAGAGACAGAACTGACCCACAATTCGCTTGTACCGAGCTTCCTGAGGCTTCTTCACGGTGCGCCTCTCGAGCAGAGACAGGCCGAGCTCGTCGACCGCCGGCTCCGACCCGTAGTCCCTGCGGCGGCGAGCAGCGCGATCGGCTCGAAGGTCTGGCTCGAGGCCGCTGGGCGGTGCCAGCGACTGCGCTGCTGGCCGCTTGCGGCACCTCTGGGCGGTCGAAGGCCTCGCTGCTGGCAGCCGCGGCGGGGGCATCAG